AGGCAGCTGGCACTACTGTCCTGCAAGGTTCTGTTAGCTTCATGTGGGCAAGCTTTGAGACAAATGCCCAGCCGTTCCGTCCCTCACAACAACCAAAATAGCACTTCAGTAGAAACTCATTGTTCTGCTGGTGTAAAGGGGATCAACACACAGGTGTTAAGCTGGTTACAGGGAACAGTAGGCTGAAGAATTCCTGTAAGCTCATTTTTTAAGTTTGAACAACAAATTTCAGACACTCAATACAAGTGTAAAAAAGGTGCCAAATAATTTGAAAGCCATAACCACCAAAACCTAAGGAAACAAAGCTCTGATTCAAAGTGAAAATATGTAGGATGCATTACATTGTTTTAGACAGCGCTCAGAGACAAAGGCCTCAAAAACAACGGTCTAACACTGCAAAGAAGAAAACTATGACCAATTAGACACCCCTCCGCCCCATACAACGCACTTCTTGCCTGAAGCTGTCTGTCATCCTAATCTCTCTTAACCAGAGTATGAGCTTTAATATCCTTTCCAAAAGCGTCTATGTGATGCTGAAAGGTCCTCTAGGCATTCTTATTACCCATATCAGGATCTGTTCTTTTTTGAATCTTACTAATTTCTTGCAAGGAGATGCCCTGCCTAGCAGAATGCATTTGATGCATTCTGAATTTGCCACCTTCTGATTGAATTGAAGGTCTTGTTTCCTACTCAGAGAGCACAGCGTGGGGAAAATGCCTCTATGCTTAGTGTTTCCTTGATGAAATCATTTCACAAAGTATTAAAGTAAAAGGATCCGCAACTTTTCCCATGGCTTTTAATCCAATTCTTTCTCTTCAGCCGCAAGAGTCTGATGCTTACTCAGTGTCAAAGGGAAAACAGATCCTCAAGTAACTTAATCCATTTTGACCCACTTCAGCTTGCTACTTCATATCACATTAAGAATAACGCAACCACCTAAGCAGCACTTGGAATAGCACAACTGCCACCAACAAAAGATTACATCACCAGTCACATCGCTCTCAGAGCTGCTCATTCCACAGGGGACAATCACTCGCACAAGCCTAGCAAGAAGGAGTTCCGAGATCATCTAAACTCAAGCAAGAACCACGGAACAGACTGCCAGCCCTGATGGCAACAAGTCAACCTTTGAGTACTCTCTTGAAGGAAAACTCGGCCCAGACTCACAGATCATGGCCCAGACTCACAGATCATGGCCCAGACTCACAGATCATGGCCCAGACCCACAGATCAAGACCCAGACTCACAGATCATGGCCCAGACTCACAGATCATGGCCCAGACTCACAGATCAGTTGAGGTTGTCTAGTGGGGAGGAGCTGGTAAGATAGACTACCAAAAATGCATTCAGATGATAAAGCTCCACATCTCCACCACTCCCTGATACAGCAACAGGCAACCAGGTTGCTAGTCGCTTTTTGATACAGCAGATGGAGGCAGAGTGTGGCCCCAAGATTCCCATGTGAGAGGAAGAAGTGTCCAACATATACTGAAGAATGTCCAAAACTGGGTAACACCAATGCTGAAAGTACGTCCCTCTCCAGATTATCAGAAGTCAGAGAGTGCCAAAACCACCCATTCAGATCTGCACCCCTGCTCTTTCCTTACCTCCAGGACTAGATGATCTCCGTGTTGTTTTACTCAGGTGGAACTAGCTGAGTGATAACACTTTTCAGTTTGCTACAACTTAAACTTGTAGCAAATTGGGACTTTAAAAGGTCACAATTTCACAGCTCTTGATGCAGATCAGACTACCAGGGACTACCAATTTGTAGCTTGCAATAGGCACAATATTGCCACCACTATTCAGAATACTTCCCAGAAGAGAATGCCAGAGGCTGAGCCTCTCCTGTGACATGGGACAGGAAAGAAGAGGAAAAGAATAGCTGTTTCTTCCAAGCACTATAGGAAAGTTTATCAGGTAGCAAATTGCAGTCGGGGAATTCTCAAAGTAGTTAAGGAGTCTACCTATTTCTGACTGGGCAAAAACGTCCTCCACAGACACATGTCTCTCCCGAGATGGAGGTCAGCAGCTGGCCTCCAAGCGAATCAGTGTCCTGCTGAGTTAGGGTACCAGCTACATCACGTGTAGTCTGAAAGTTGATCTGTGTTTCAGTTTTACGCTGCAAAACACAGCGAAGAGGATCTAGTATGATGATGAATTAAGAAAACAGCTATAGCAATGAAGTGACAGTCTGATAAGAAATCTAATACAATATTTTCACATGTGGGAAAGAAGCATTACAGAGTAAAGACATACTCCTCCACTCAACAAGATGTTGAAATGGGTTTGAAACAGAACTCATTAAATAAAAAGGTAAGAGTAAAGTTCTACTAAAGTTCTGAGGTTTAGTAAACCTTGGAAAAAGTTTAAGATGACAATCTATTTGTTGGAATGGCTGAAGTTTTTGATGGTGTACCAAGAGTGGAAACAATTGCTTCTGACTTAAAAATTTCTCAAAATAGAAATATGAACAGGCATTATGGACCAACTTCCATACATGGAAAATGAAGCTAGATATACTAGGTACACCATATAATTTATTTTTCTGACTAGGAAGCATTGAAAAAAAGCTCACCTAATGCTGTTAACCTTACCAATATAACCAACCTTACCACACCGCTAAAAAAAGATCTGAAGGAAAACATCCAAAACTGAAAACAGAATTGCTCTTTTTTACCTCTCTTCATTGAATTATACCAATGAACATTAGCAAAAACAATCCGAGTTACATATACTAACTAAGGCCTCCATGAAGGATTCTGGTTCAACTCTCTGGTGGTCTCAACAAATAGATAAATATGTATAATTCCCTCTCATCTTCAACAGTTTACAAGCCAAGGAAAAGACAAAGAAACAAAGGATAGAAGTGGTTTTTCAGTTTAACCAAGTGCCACTGCTCTTAGATTAAGATAGACAAACAATATTCCAGGAAAAGCAGCACCTAAAATGTCCGGTGGACCACTGGATACATGTTTAACATTACCTCTATTCACTATTATTTCTCTACTTCAACAAAAAGTTCTTGAAACCAAGTCAGGCAGCTGGTTCAGTTCCTAAAATATGATGGAAATGTTGCTACAATTATTGTTGCTGACCTCCTGGTCAGTCTCTCACAGGAACTCACTTTAGACATACAAACACATACAGCCTCCGTTTCTTCCAGGCTTCACCTGAGCTACAGACCAAATACACCTCTAAGCATACCCTATAGACAAAAAATACCCAGATCCAGGCTTCAGAAATTTTTCCTAGATAATTTCGATACTCATATGATAAACATTTACTTACATGTTACAAAGATGCGGACAGTCCAAACACTGTCTCTTCTTTCCACAAAGTTCCCCACAGCTATGTGGGATTTCGTTTCTATTCCATTCAGGATTGTGCACCTTACCTAAACCACGTCAAAGACAAAAACATACATTTACTGCCTTGAATACAATACTGACTTTGGGAAAAATATCACACCAAAACCAAACAGCTGTATTTTCAATACTGCCAATAGTCGTCTCTGAAAAACAAAATGGTGCAAGAGGCTTTTTGTTCTTCTCAGCTTTCAGCACTGACACTCACTCAGGTTCTTTAAAAAAGGAAATGCCACTGGAGTATCAAGCTCCAGAAGATTCTTTTTTTCTACGCTCCCAGCAGGGACCTAGGTAGCTGGTATTTTACATTAAATTAAACTGATAAAATACAAGGAAATTTAGAGCCCCTTTTAGTTGGTCAGACTGCATAGTCGGTAAGAAAATTAAAGGGTGAAACTCCCTTGCTGCCTCAATGCAGGAAGGGAAAAAAAAAAAAACAAAACAAAAAAACCCCACCACCAAACGACACCATCCCCAGAAAATAAGATCTAGCTGATAAGGTGATAGGGAATAGGGGCAGAATGAAATGACTGGGCAAATTATAAAACTCACTTCTCTAAAAAGCAGCAGACTCTACATAAATCTAAATGTTAAAGGTTGACATTTTTATGAATGCAGCAGGAAGTCTTGAACAAGAAGTGATAAATCCAGTATGTTAGCTTCAAGTATTCGGTACTTTAGATAAGCGCTGAAGCCATATTTTAATTAATCTGACATACTCTTAGCAAATCTCGTGCATGAGACTATCATCAGGGTTTCAAGTTAACTGCCATGGTTAACACATGCAAACCTCATTTGGTTCTCTACAAGAGGGGAATTAAATTAACAACAAAACAACTGAGTCAAGGTTACAAATTTGAGTTGCGACCATTAAAAACACCGAGTAAATGTATTTTTGGTGGCATAGGTATATCATTTTAACTCTTTTGGTACACCTCTGTACATTCTGCAAGTAGCAAGATAGGAAGATACAAATAAACACCACAGATAGCATTTATTCACCCGAGTTTAATTGAAACTAGTTGAATACCCAGGGAAACCCTGAAAATTAGAAGATTCAGAAGAAAAAAGAGCTAGGAATTTCCTCATGAAATGGTGAAAAAACGGCACACTTAACCACACTCAACACACAGGTAGTATTTTGTCTCAAATAGAAGATAGCTTTGCATAAGCAACTGGCTGTGTCCAAATACCATATTGTTAATGTAAAGTTATCTAGAGAAGATTAAAGTCTTATGTTCCAACACGGTGCTCTGCTAATACTAACCCTGTGGATAACCTGAGGTTCCTACTGTAGATCTCCCAAAACTATGAAGCAGACTTTAAGCCTAGGCAGAATTTCTTTCCTATTTAACAGATGGACGGCCTGTCTTAAAAGTGTAATTTTCATTTGGAATCAAAACATTCGTTCTAACTGAATTACTATCCCTATTCCCATAAGGTTTCACGCATTGTCACATAAAAACTCTGTCTTACTGCACTGCACTGTTCTTAACCGACTCACTGACACATTTACATACGGAGAACTTTAGATAAAATAGTTAACTATTGCAGCATAAGTCTAGTTTCTTTGTGGCAAGTTCACCGACTCCCAGTTCCTGCCCCAATTCCAGAATACTCTGTTTTGTAGAAAGGGAGGCAAAACTTCTCAGTGACTCTGACTTCAGGAAGGGAAAGCTACGCGTAATCAAATCAGTTTTCAAAAGAGTAAATCCCAAACAAAGTTCATTTGTGTGTATGCAAGTAAATAACATAATTTCTACCCTTTTTGTCATATACTTATGGCTTAGTGAATGCTGTACTCCATCTACCTCTTCTATTAAACATGTATCTGCATAAAGGTCTGAATATTATTTCCTATTTAACCTGTATGCGTTCCCAATCAACAAAAAAGACAAGATTGCTAAATCAATTTAAAAATTTAGATAGTTGTATGCTTGAATCATGTATTATTTTGGTGTACCTTGCTGCAAAGAAAGACATAACATATGCAGATTATTTCAGTCCTTCTACAGATGTAAAGTTTGTAGGCTAGCAGCCCAATTCTACCATTATCCTATAAAAATCACTATTTTTGCATACTGATATGAAAATATTGATCACTTCTGATTTAGTATTGCATTTTTAAAATGTTTTAAGCAACATGTTGTGAGATTCTCTGCGCAGCCACCTTCCAGTGTCAGTAAAGTTTTAAACAGCTTGAATTTCAGGGATGTAAGCAAACAAGCAGCAATATCAGAACTCAAATTAAAAAAAAAAAAACAAACCCAAAATGACAAAATTGTTTTTCTTTGCAAAAGTAAGCAAGAAACTCACCACAGAAACAAGTGTAAGTTTTAGGAACCTGCGTAGAAGCATTCTGACAAGCTGGACATCTCCAACCACTATTACCATCTGGGGGGGGGGGGG